CTGTTTTGTACTGCACTAGAAGACCACACTTGGAATACTACATCCAGTTCTGGTCACCATGATACAAAAAAGATGTTGTGAATTTAAAAACAATGCAGAGAAGGAAAATAAAGATGATTAGGGGATTGAAAGCAAAACCATATGTCAAATAATTGTGGGAACTTGGTGGGGAGACTAGGGATGACATGATAGCAGTCTCTACCCTGACATCACCTGGGAGACAAACTCTGCACCAAGTGGAAAATCAAACAGATTCCTGACAAACATAGCAGACAACTTTGTCTCCCAAAAAGTAGAGAAGGGAACTAGGGGATTAGCCATTTTGGATCTAATTCTCACTAACAGAGATGAAATGATAGAAGGTGTTGAAGCCATAGGAACCTTGGGAAGAAGTGATCATGCAATATTGGAATTCAACATTATGGAAGCACTAGCACTAGAACACAGTCAAACTAGAGTCTTGGACTTCAAGAGAGCTAATTTCAATAAACTTAGAGAGGGTTTGGGAAGGATTCCATGGATGAGAATCCTCCAGGGGAAAACAACTCAAGATGCTTGGGAAATTTTGAAAAGTGAGATAATAAAAGCCCAGTCTAGCACAATACCAATGAAGAGGAAAAATAACAGCTCTCAAAAAGAAACCAGCATGGCTGCATAAAGAACTCTCTGATAAATTGAAAGATAAAAATGACAAGTATAGAAAGTGGAAAGAGGGACACATAACTATGTCAGAATATCAGCAAATAGCCCGAGCCTCCAAAGATGAAGTGAGGAAAGCTAAGGCTCAAAATGAACTAAGACTTGCAACCAAAGTCAAAAATAACAAAAAAAAAGCTTCTTTCAACATGTAAAAAACAAGAAAAAAGTGAAGGAAACGATTGGTCCATTAGTGGGTGAAATGGCAAGAAGGTGACAAGCAACAGGGAGAAAGCAGAACTATTTAACTCGTTTTTTGCGTCTGTCTTTACACAAAGGGAAAAAGCAGACCAACCTATCAAAAATAGTGCCATAAAAAACAGAATACAAATACAAGTTAAGATAGACAAGAAAATGGTAAGTGAGCACGTGTCCAGCCTAGACGAGTTCAAATCACCAGGACCAGATGGATTACATCCCAAGGTTCTCAAGGAACGAGCAGATGTGATCTCAGAACCACTGAACTACATTTTTCAAAGATCCTGGAGCACTGGGGAACTACCAGAGGACTGGAAAAGAGCTGATGTAGTTCCCATCTTCAAAAAAGGGGGAAAAATGGATCCAGGAAATTACAAACCTATCAGCCTGACCTCAATACCTGGGAAGATTCTGGAAAAGATAATCAAACAACGAATCAGCGAACACCTACAGGCAAACCAAGTCATTACTAAAAGCCAACATGGGTTTGTCAAAAACAGATCATGCCAGACAAACCTTATTGCATTCTTTGACCAAGTGACAAAATTAGTGGACCAGAGGAATGCTGTGGATATAATTTACTTGGACTTCAGTAAGGCATTTGACAAAGTAGATCACAACCTACTACTTGATAAGATAGAAAAATGCGGGTTAGACAGCATCACCACCAGATGGATCCATAGCTGGCTGACCAGCCGTACTCAGTGTGTGGTCCTCAATGGAAACACATCTACATGGAGAGAAGTGTGTAGTGGGGTGCCCCAGGGCTCTGTTCTGGGCCAGTGCTCTTCAACATCTTCATCAATGATTTGGATGAGGGGATAGATGGGGAACTCATCAAATTTGTAGACAACACCAAGCTGGCAGGAATAGCCAACACTCCAGAAGACAGGCTTAGGATACAGGAGGATCTGGACAGACTTGAACACTGGGCACTATCTAACAAAATGAAATTCAATGGTGAAAAAAGTAAGGTTCTACATTTAGGCAAGAAAAACCAAATGTATAGGTATAGTATAGGGGGTACCTTGCTCAATAGTACAATCATTTAAATATGAGCCAGCAGTGTGCTGCAGCTGCCAAAAAAGCCAACACAGTGCTAGGCTGCATTAACAGAGTGATAGAATCAAGATCACGCGAAGTATTAATACCACTCTACAATGCCTTGGTAAGGCCACACTTGGAATACTGCATCCAGTTTTGGTCACCGCGATGTAAAAAAGATGTTGAGACTCTAGAAAGAGTACAGAGAAGAGCAACAAAGATGATTAGGGGACTGGAAGTTAAAACATATAAGGAAAGGTTGATGGAATTGGGTATGTCTAGTTTAATGAAGAGAAGGACGAGGGGGGACATGATAGCAGTGTTCCAATATCTCAGGGGCTGCCACAGAGAAGAGGGAGTCAAGCTATTTTCCAAACCACCTGAAGGCAGGACAAGAAGCAACGGATGGAAACTAATCAAGGAGAGAAGCAACCTAGAACTAAGGAGAAACTTCCTGACAGTTAGAACAATTAACCAGTGGAACAACCTGCCTCCAGAAGCAGTGAATGTTCCAACACTGGAAGTTTTTAAGAAGAAACTGGACAGCAGGGGGTTGGACTTGATGACCTCCAAGGTCCCTTCCAACTGTATTATTATTATTATTATTATTATTATTATTATTATTATTATTATTATTATTATTATTATTATTATTATTATTATTATTATTATTATTATTATTATTATTATTATATTTGAGAGGCTGTTACAGAGAGGCGGGAGTCAACCTATTATGAGGGTGGGACAAGAAATAGCAGCTGGAAGCTTATCAAAGAGAGATCCAACCCAGAATTAAGGAGAATACTTCCACCTCCTCTTTTTCCCCTAACAACAACCTTGTGAGATGAGTTGGGCTGAGAGCGAATGACTGGGCCAAATTTACCCAGCTGGCTTTCTTGGCTAAGGTGGGACTGGAACTACAGTTTCCTGGTTTCCAGCCTGATGCCTTAATCACTAGACTATTGTCAACTTTGGTGACTATATATATATATATATGTGCATGTGCATATGCATATGCATATGTATATGTATATGTCCAGGCTGCTTTCTTGGCAACAATAATACAGAACTGGTTTCCATTGTCTTGTCTTCTATCTGCCTTATTGATTGACTTTGCTTTTGTCCCATGTGGATGTATCCCTTCCTCTCTCATTACTTTAGAGAAAGCCAGGTCTACTTTTCTTTCTAGCAATCCTGTGTATTAAGAACGGGGTGTAAATTAGGATCTCGCCTGTTAGCTCAATATAGACACAAAAGTCCTGATAGGGAAATTGCTGTTTGAGGTGCTGCACTACCACGCAGAATGACCTGCCTATTGGAGCGTTTACTTTTACAAGGATCTGACAAGCAGGTTGCACCAAGGTTGCAGAGCAGCACTTATATTGCAAATCTATCAGAAAGATATATAATTATTACCTTCCCTTCTCTGAGAGGGAGAGGCAGAGGGAGAGAGAAAGAGATAGAAAGAGCAGGGCTTTTTTTTTTTTTCATAGAACACCCAGAACGGATTTCCGGCACCTTTTTTTAGATAGAACCTTGTAGGGTAGACAAGGCGGGTTGTATGACGTGTGTGAGTTCCGGCACCTTTTTTTTTTTTTTTTTTACAAAAAAAGCACTGAGAAAGAGAAATAGGGAGAAAGAGAGATGTTATATTATATCATCACCTTATATATGTGTATCACATGATGTCCATCCCCATTCAACCCTGAAGGAGGGAAACATTTCTATTTTTAAACAGTAAATAGTATATCCGAGATGGTGTTTTCAATTACAATCATCACCAGTTTCATTTCATTGGAATCACATTGTTCCAATTGAGACCAAAGCCATGTACTGCCTCCTGGTGGACAGTGTGCCTTGCATTTCAATATTGTGATAGATGGCTAAACTTTCAAAACCTCCCTCTTGTAACCCCAGCTCCAACTTAAGCTCATGTTAGTAGAATGATTGGTAGACATTTTTATCATCCAGAGGCAGTTCTGGATGAATGCACCTAGGATTCTTTGATACTCTCACACCATTTGTTCAAATATCCTTCCATATTACATAAATATTTTGATTTCAAACACAAGATCCTAGGATTGATTAAACAATTAAAAAAATAAAATATTTAAAAAACATTCATTTTTCTTTTTGCTTGCTAACTGCAAATGCACTGTTAAGAAAATTCTGGTTTAAGTTATTCAACTGATAATCATTTTATGGCATTGATAATTCATTCACTGGCATATTATTCCATTAATTAATAACAATACATATAGTCACAAGGGTGAGCACTTGGCCTGTGCTGTCGCTTTTCATTTTCATTTTTATTTTCAACTATTGAGTAGATAATCAAGTTATAAACATAGATATCCCAACTATTTAAACATTCATCATGAGAACAAGCCTGAAATTTATCTGTTATGCAACCTTAAAAATGTGAGATGGTTAGTTCAGGACTAATTTGCACTTGCATATGTGACATATTAATCAGATTATTGTTTTCCAAGTATAATGCATTTTGTAAGAAAAGTGACAGCCAGAAACAGCTTGACTTGGTCTTTGAATGCAATGGAAAACTTTAGGTAATCTTTTTTTATTCAGCCTATTTGATCTATATATATATAATTGCTTCAGTTCATAGCTACAATATTTGAATGTATAAGGTACAACTCTTTTGGTACAAGCCTCTCTGTGATTTATTTAATTTTGAAGATTGGAAGACTGCTATATTTGCACTATATTTGACTTGTGTGGTGTGTGTCTGTGTATACCTATAGGCGCACACATATATACATATATAAATATGTACACTATATCAATAAACCAGTGTATGTGAATGTGATTGGAGCCCTCAGGTAGTATTCTGTCTTCAGAGAATGTTGTAAATAAATAAAATGAAAATACCAATTTATTTAAAGCATGATCACTGTTAGAGAATAAAGATTTTGTACTACTTTTTACACCCTCATGCATACACACACATTCTACTCATCATTAATTATTTTCTTGATGGAACAAATACAAGAAACAAGAAACAAATGCATATTCATTGCATAGTCATTTAATCATGCTAAAATGATTGCTTTGACTCTAAAGAATTTATTCACAGCAGAAGAAGCGAACATCGTTTAAGGCTGTATCATCTTTAAAAATGCCCTGGTAGGGCTCCTGCTTAGTTTGAAGGCCACAAATTCCTCCTTTCTCACAGGGTGTACTCCATTCACTGTATTCACCAAATTGACCACCAGCTTCTTCAAGTTGAAGACCATTGCTGCAACGGAATCTAATGTTGTTTACTGCTGTGTCATCTAAAACTCCTTGCTCTGGTTCAACTTTCAACTGAAAAGAACGTAAAATACCATTTCGTGGACACCATCTAATTCCTGACCAGTGTCCATATCTGGAAAAAAAGAAGAAGATATCAGCAACATCTCTTTCAAAAGAGATTGTCTTTCACAGTAAGTTTATTTTATACCTTGTGTGAGAATTGTTTAAGAAACAATAAAATATGCCTGTTTTGAGCTTGCACAAGTGATTGCAAACTTTATCATGATAAGTCTTACTACTGGTTGTCTATATTCTCCACTGAATTTAAGGACCATTTAATAGGCAGTCTTTCTTAGTTTATATAAACAACCTTTACAACCAAAACAAACCAATCACAGATAATTCAGGAACGACATCTAGATTTCAGAATTTCCTGTGATTAGATTTTAGTTGATAATAACTGTTAAGGAATGCATTTAAATAAGTAGCAAGCAAGTAACCATCTATCACTTAAATAGGAATTAGTAAGTTATATTACTTCACAAACCCTTGGTGTGATTTCTACATTCTTCATCACATTAGTTCCAAACACATCTAATTTATTTTGCCTAATGTGCTGTAGAAAAAAGCTAGTGATTCAACAAATTGCATTTTATAAAACTTTTTAAACTCCTTCCATTTTAAAAAAAGTTGAACAATATCTATTTACAGTCTAGAACAAACATAAAAATAGCATAATCATTTTTTCAGTAACATTTATAAGACATATTTGTACTTTCAATTGAGTAATGTTAATTACATTAGATTTTTATTAGTATACAGAAAATAGAATTGCTTCCTCTGTGCTCACTTAGAAGATAAATATTTAGAAAGGGTAGTCTAAAAGCAACACTTTTTGTGTCAATGTCTAATTTTCTATAAAATTAAACAAATCAGAGATATTTGGAGATAACAAAACTTACTCTCCCGGTTCAGATTCAACAGTGTACATAATATTATTGCTTTGCTCAGTTGAACAGAATAATCGGATTCCATTGAGTGAAGTGTCATCACTAGCTCCTCTATATTCTTCCACCTAATGCAATAAGAGGAAAAACACACTGAGATTCAGATAGCAAGTTTATAAATTAATTCAGTGTCTAAATGAGCACTGCACATAGATTTACCCTAATGCTAAATCCAATGGCATACGATTCTGGTGGACACTTGTCAATCCATGTCCAAAGACCCCAACGTCCTCCATTTTTAACTGTTATCGAATCATAATCCCTTCGGTTTGCAAAGGTACCATTAGCACTGATATATTGCCTATCCACAGCCGATGCAAGGCATACAGAAACAAGAAAAAGGGCGACAGAAAGAGGCTGCATTTTATTTTTTATATGCTAGCCAAAGAGATGAAGAGGGCCGAAAATGTTATGCTCTTTGTACTTTATACCTTAGTTTATCTTCACAGGTGTCAATGCAGTGATAGATTCTTTCTGCTTGGAAAAATAAACATACATTAACAGTTAGCAACAAAAAAATTATTAACTCAAACTGCTAACTGAATCTGGAATATTTCCCTCAGGTTTGTCCCTGAAAAATGTGTACCAGGCATAAAAGTAATTCATATTTTATTTTTCTCTTTAATGATCAAAAGAGACAATTATTTAGTCTAAACATCTGTGAAAATTCCAGATATTAATCTATTTAAACCATTTGTACATTCTTACTTTGTGAACACAGAATTCGTGATTGTCATAATCAAATCTTTAATTTGTTTGGAAGAAATTGAGGAAATCTGGTTTTATTTTATTACATTCCGAATAAATATGTTTCAATTCAGATTACAACCTTCATAATTTTCTTATCTAGAATAAATAATTATGGTGGGCTAGTAGATGTTATGTATGTATGTATGTATGTATGTATGTATGTATGTATGTATGTATGTATGTATGTACATACATATGTATTAAATTTATATGCTGCTCAACTTACAATAATATTTTGAAGTATATTTGGGAGAAAAAGTGGCAAGTAAGAGAACCAATAAACGTATTTATGTTCTTATACTGAATAGCTGCTGGATGAAAAATTGTCCTGTCACAAAGTGGCTAATTATCTGAAGCCAAGTTTGTCATATTGCTTGTTTGCCATCTAGAACATATTTTTGTCTTTTTTATTCTGATGAAGAAAGCATACATCTGAACCAGCTACCCATCAAGGTTTTTTTTCCCCTAAGCATGCCAGTCAGGATTCTATGTGAGTGACAGATTTTTATAAATAAAGAAAATGGAAGAAAATGGTACATTAGTATGCAGCATGCAAGCTACCCATTTATGATTTTTAAAATTAAAATAATTTTTAAAAACTTAAAAAGCAGATAGGATGGGTGGTGGTTGCAAAAGATGAGTCGCAACCTTGTGCATCTACCCTTGAGTTAAAAAAAAACTACAGAAAAATACACTGTTAGAATTAGAATTCTCTGTACAGTGAACAAGCAAATTAATGTAACATTCAGTTTTACATTACATTTAAACCAGATTCAAAACTCTTTTCAACCAACATCTTATAATAACAATAATAACAACAATAACAATAACAATAATAATAATAATAATAAAGTTGGAAGGGACCTTTCCTGCTCAGGCAGGAAACTCTATACCATTTCAGACAAATGGCTGTCCAGTCTCTTCTTAACTGCTGGCTCATATTTAAGTGATTGTCCATTAGGAATCCGTGGTCCCTCTCACAGTTACTACTATTGAGCAAGGCACCCCATATACTATACCTGTGCATTTGTTTTTTCTTGCCTAAATGTAGAACCTTACTTTTTTCACCATTGAATTTCATTTTGTTAGATAGTGCCCAGTGTTCAAATCTTTGTTTAGTAACCCCAAAGTCAGTCAAAATCTCTCATCAAACCACTTCATAAGAGGCCTAGATGTTACCGTAATCAATTATATGAATTAATTTTATTTTTGTCCAAGATTCACATTGCACAAATTAATCTTTCTTCAAGAATAAAGGGCCTTTTATAATATATCACTGATATAATTACTTAATAGAGTTTTTCCTACAAGTTTTTATTATTATTATTATTGGATCAGAACACCTGTAACTAATGATACCTGTGTACACATAGACACACAAACACACCCACACCCACACCAATGTTTACTAAGCAAGCTTAGAACACAAGATTAACTATATTAAGGACATTTTCAATTATGCTATGGTGAAGAGAAAGAGATGGTCAATGATTCCACCCTACATAGCTATTTAAAATGAAAACTGTATTCTATAATAGATCTGAAATATGACATGCTGTAACTTTAATTCATATTCCAGTTTATTTTTCCCATTGGCTTAGGCATAGAATTAAAACAGTGCAAGGTAAGATTACTAAAATGAATGTTTGAATCTTCTCCTTCAGTAATCTAGTAGCTCTGTGTGTGTGTGTGTGTGTGTGTGTGTGTGTGTGTGTGTGTGTGTTAAATTTGGATTGCTAACAAAGAGTTAAAGGGAAGCTGGTATAGCTATTTCGAGTTCCTTAGCTCTCATCAACCAGCTACACCCTTCTGACATTCGAACCTGGGCTGCTTGCACATTAGGCAGCTGTGTTGACCTCTAAGCCACAGGCTCTTTCTAACTTTGTTAGCTGTGTCAGGGAGGGAAGAGACCAGGGGAGGAGATATGTCTTAAGTGTTTTTTTATGATGCACCCAGTCGGCCCAAAAAAGATTTCTTCTTCCCATATTTGGGCCGACCGGGTGCATCATAAAAAAACACATAAAAAACATAATATATACACACACATAAACGCACACACACACACAAACATGCACAAAATACTCAGAAACCTTTATTCTAAATAATTTCTTGTATTATTATTTTTTTTTGCCTGCTATTAGCCCTAGAACTACAGCAGTGATAACCTTGTACTCAGATGTGGCACAAAAATGAGCAAACACTACTGGTAATCTAATATCAAACATCAAGGCTAAATGTCTAAAATTTTTGGCTTCAGGCATTAAATAATTCAAACACATAATTTTTAAAAATCAATATTGTTGACGGTTCAAGTTATATAAATATATCTTATTATATAGCAAGAGTTCAAAGAGACCTACAAAAAAACTTCAATTATCATCACTGTAGATTGCATAGATTTGGATTAATTTATCAGAAGTGAATACTTAATTTTGCAGGTGCTACTGACAGGAATGTCTCTGCTGTTGGAACATGTTGATACAGACCTGGATGGGATTGATAGACAAACTCATTTACTGAAGCTTATTTAGCTTAACTTGGAAGGTTATGAAACTGATTATTGGAATGAACTTTCATTTGAAAGTGTATTGTTGGGTAGTTTTTCTGGTTCCGATCATTGAATGTATTAACCTCATGTCAATCTTGCTATTTAAGCATTACAAAAATTCCTGTACAGTATGTAGAATGTTCTTTATCATTTTATCAGATTACCAACTGCTGGCACTTTACCAACGAATCTCTTATGTATATTATGAAGTGATCAGAATAAGACTTTTGTAGGAATATACTGTAGAGAGAATTTCTTCATCAAGTTGGGAATCTCACCTTGTATTGCGAGAAGAGGTAACAGAGAGGCTGCATTTTTTAAATTTGGTCTGGATGGGAATTGTCAATGTTAGCATGAACTATTGCTGCTCAAGAATTTCTAAGATAGTCTTTGCTTGTCTTCTGATTTTAGTCTGTTTTGATAGCCTAAACGACTAAGACATCAGCTTCTCCAGTCAGTTACCACACTATACCTGCACAGTTGGATCTTTCTTATTCAGTTGAGTGGCCATTCATGTGTTGTTGTCTGCTGCAAAGAAGATTGTGAGACTGACACTTCCTCTTCTTCTATCTTCCCAGAGTGGAAAAGGTTAAATGTTTGTAATTGGACATCTGAGGTCAGCACCACCCAGATAAAGGAGGTGGGTGGTCTTCTCCATATCAATCTTTCTGATTTTCTAACCCCACTTCCTGGTGAGACCATGGTAGTTGGTGTCAAAAAGTAAAATGAGGCAGAGATGGAATGCCTTCAGAAGCTCTGGTCTCACAGGGTTTTTCTAAGACTTCCTTTCTATCTTGGAAATGGGAAAGGAAAATAAGTTTCCAAGAAATTCAAGCAATACCTTTAACAGGAGTAAGTTTAATTTTGAATAGTACTGCATTACTGTGATAGTTGTTTTAGAATTGTAGACAAAATAAATATTTGTGTGTTTAAAATGTGTGAAGTCTTCCTAAACAGTATAAAACTATAAATAAACTCACATTTGTATGTGTGAGTAACATATATTTATAAACAGGAGCTATTTTATCCCTTCAGTAACTATAAGCTATAGGTAGTTTTAGAAAGCAAAGTACAGAGTACACTATGCTGTTTTAAATCTTTATTTATTAAATTTATAAATGAATATAGTATATAGATAAAACCGGTATGTACTTTGTTAAATTTAAATATGTACTTTGTTCCATTTATAAAATGTTCAAGCTTACTATAATGCAAACAGATTTCATGAACTGATTTCTGGTATATGAGAAAACAGGACAAAATTATTGCCTGCAATATGAACATTGAAATTTTAAAATACTTATCTATGGAAATCATTTAAATGATAATAGTAAATAGTTTACTGAATAACTCTACAGACCATTTCAACTTAATATTTAATAAAAGTTATCTTTGCTCATACTGAGATGCACCTGAGAATTCTTAAAACACAAACTCTACATTTCATCAATTAAAAACATCTAGTATATTTCTATCATATCTCATAGTATTATTTCTGCATGTATTCAGTATATATCTGTCTATATTCCCCAGTTAACAGAGTCAAAAAAATAATGCTAGATTATGTTTTTAGATTTCTTTTTTCCCCTGAAAAAGAGCTACATACAGTGACAATTGAAGTGTAATGTCCTTATCACTGGGAAGGTCAGTTTAATTAAAAAAAATATTATTTCTCAAGTGAGGCTTGATGTTAAAGTAATATTGAAGTATAGCCACTGAAGACTAATATATTTTCCCTGAAATTAAATATATATAGCATATAGATAGAGCGAAGTTTGTTGAGTAAAAGAAACAATCTGGTCTTCCAAGAAGCTGTTTATTTGCAACCCATTGTCAGAAGGCAGCTTGGCATATCAATACAAAAATAGTCAGAACTGAAGCATGTGGAGAAATGTCTTTCTATCATTTTCACCAAAAAATCTCTTTCCCATTTTTACTTCTTTAAAGAGATAGCTAGCATTGGGCTCTTTTGGGAGTGGGTGTAAGGCAGAATTTGGTTTTCTATGAACCTGTTGATACTTTTTTCTACATTAATAATTCCATAGAGACATGAGATCAGTTTTCACTAGTTAAATTTTGCTAATGTTAGTTATTAATAACCCATAGTTTATCACTCTGCTGTAACAAGATAATTCCAGAACAGGATAGATACACACCCAAATACCTATATATAATCTTTCTCTTTTACACAAATAGTTTTCTATATTGTTACTGCCCCTTAACAGCTACGTCACAGAAATTTGGCAAATTGTGGATGTTGCACCAAGTACTTTCTTATAAAGCAAAATTAAAGCAGCAGCCACATATATTCTCAAGATGCCCTCATAACTGCCAAAAGTAAATGGATGGTGGGGCTTACTGGCATTTGGGGAAGGCTGAACTGTTCACCTCTACATATTGTTTTTATAACCGTACAACAGTATTTACATAACATATCCCTTCCCTAATGTATTGCTTCTATGATAAAACCACATTTATTCAAAACCAGAACGTATCTGTAACTTTCTCCACAAAAGATATTTTTGACACAGCACAACACAAACTAAAAGTTGTAGAGGTGCCATTATAGGTGGAATATCTGCTCTTCGGACTCACACACTCCTGGCTGATACAAAGAATGTGAGGAGGAACACAGAGAGCCATTACTACCACAGAATATGTAATAAGGTATGAGATTATGCTATAGTAATTAGGATAGCTTTAAAAGGGCATTGGAGAAATTCTTGGAAGACATATCTATCAGGAACTATTCATCCCCAAGGATCAGTATTACTTCCATATATCAGTTCTGGTGAGTAATAGTGGGAGGACTATATATCTCCATCTCCAATCAGAGCTATCTGACCGGCCACTGAAAGAAACAAATACTGGGCTATGGGTCTCTGTCTGAATGGGTTCTCTAGTTTTAATTCCAGTGCCGTTGGGTTTGAGCCATACCTTTCCCAAGTTGTGAATGGAATCAAGGAATCAATGCTTCTTTGAGAGACAATAATGCTGCCTGCCTTAACAGATGCAGTAGTGGATCTTATTTTGAATATACTTGAACTGAGTTATGCTTGATAAATGTTGTCTGGTTTTCAACTTTTTAGGGAAGCTTATTAAGGTGACAGCAAATCAATTTTAGACAATCCTCAAAGAAATGGATTATCTAGGCCCTTGCCAATCAAGGTTTATTTATAATCCTGATAAACCCTAGATTGGTTGAGTAAGCTTCCTAGATCCTATTAAATCTTTCAGCAGCAATTGATACCACGAAACACAGTCCCTTTGGACCACCTACAAGGGTTGGGAACTGGTGGTTCCATTGCTGTGCTATCTGAACTGTAGTTCTAGCCAGTGATCATGGAGAAAGTGCTCAAGTTCATGGAATCCCAATATGAGGTCTGCGTGCTCTCCCCTACATTGTTAAATTTCTACATAAAACATAAAAATATCTATCAGTTCAGGATCAATTTTCCTCAGTACTTTGATTACTTTTAGTTGTACATCATCACCCCAAGAGGAGCTGGAGATACCATTAAAGTCCTGAACTGGTATCTAGAGGCTGTAAGGATCTGGATGGAGACAGAAACAAGTTGAGATTAAATCCTATAAGACAAGAGTTATTAATCATGAGTAAACCCATTAGATCTGGTATTGATTTAGGTTTTTATACTCTTTTATACTCTTCACCCAAGGGATGTTTGTGAACTGTGGGTATCTCTGCTTCAAGCAGGAAGTGGATGCTATGACAGGGACTTTAATTAATATTTACACCTCTACATGACTAGAGTGGACTGACATAAGTAACTCACTCTTGATTACTACAACTGGATTCTACTACATACTTTGTGTGGTGCTACCTCTGAGACAATAAAAAAGTGCAGTTGGTATATAGCAACTAACACCAATTTTAATGTTGATGCACTGGTTATCAGTGGATTCTTGACTCAAGTCAGAGTGCTGGTTATTAGTGATAAAGTCATTTTAAATGTAGCATGAAGGATAAATCAAATAATGGCTTGTTAAAACTTAATTTGCTTGGTCAGCCTGGTTATTGTGAAAGATTATGGGGAATGGACATAACAAGAGACAGAGGATTTGGTAGTTTATTTTATAAATAGCAATTCAGCTGAGATAGCAAGAAACCTGAGAAAAAGAATTTCAAATCATTCAAAAAAAATCCACCTTAATGAATTGATTTAAATGAGGGTGATAAATTCCTCTGTTTCCAAAATTCTGCATTTATCCTAAAATTCGCATTAATGATATCTTAATGAAGTCTATACAGTTCTTGCTTCTTTGATCTTGCCCAATTAAGTGACCATGATAGTTACCCAGAGAAGGCCTATTGAGAATATCATATCTCATATGGAACAAATATCTGGGGGATGGATTGGACAGCAAATCTTCTCCACAACAGCCTTCACTTTCCGGAATACCACTCCCCTCTTGTGACATCATGACTCCTTACCCAGTAGTCTTCCTCAAACAACTACAAGCTGTGTTTTTCAACAAGCCTATGGCCTCAGTTGATTGAGAAATGGTGCATATTATAGGGCTGAATTTGAAGATTTGTATTACTGTCTCCATCTTATAAAACAAGCTGCAGTTTTTCTTTGTTAAAACACAAAACCAGTAGTTTACATTTTGTATTTTGTCAGAAGAATTAGAGTCCAGGTTCAATAGAAGAATTCAAGAAGCATTCATGATACCTATATACATGTCTACCATCTTCATTTTCAGCCTTAAACTTGATAGATTATTCACTACTTTCAAATATCACTTGTTTGCACTGTCTCTTTATGCACAAGTAAACATAGTTTTTTTCACATCCATTCCCATTTGAGCTGAAGTAGCTGCTGATATGCAATAAATTACTAAAGCATAAAGGATGAAGTCTTCAGAACAGGTATCCTTTCTGTCCAATCATTGCCATGCTATTCAAGAATATTATTTGCTGAATAAGTATCAGCATTTAACTAATTTTTTGCTTTCTGTAAGTGGTGAGACTTCTTCGCCACACATGAACTGTTCCTGAAATAAGAAAACAAGACTCATATGTATGTATTGTAAGTACACATATATATTATATATGTATTAATATAAGGCTGGTACAAATTAAATATAAACATCCGAATAATGAATGATTTATTTTAATGGCAAAAAATAACTTTCTGATAAAATGTTGTCTACAAACAAGATCACTGAAAAAGAGAGCACTTAATGTCATGGGAAAACAAAACAATTCAGTGTTATAAAGACAGAAGAAGCAAACTGCCCCAATATTGCTTCTACGAGGGCAATTCAGAAATAAACCTCCATTTGGTTATCAATTACAGACACTCACAGATACAGAACTTTTATTATACACATTAGAAAACTACAACATTACATTACTTTTCAACATAATCGCCATTCAAACTGAGGCACTTGTCATACCGTCTTGCAAGGTTTGAAATTCCTTAGTAATAGTTGCTCGGTGCCAAATCTGGGCTATGGGGGTAAATCAAAACATCCCAACAGAACTGATTCAAAAGTTCTTGGGTGCGTCTAGCAGCGTGCAGACGAGCATTATCATGAATCAACACCACACCAGAAGTCAGCATGCCCCGATGCTTGCTATGGATGGCTTGTCTGAGTTTTCATAATGTTTCACAGTAGACTTCTGAATTGATGCTCCATGAACTTCACTAGCAGTACTCCTTTGGCATCTTCACATTTGGCAGGATTTTCTATGGCACCACTTCCAATGTGGTATTAGTTTACGATAATGCTCACCCGCACATCACTAGACGCACCCAAGAAATTTTGAAGCAGTTCTGTTAGGATGTTTTTTATTACCCCCCCATAGCCCAGATTTGGCGCTGAGTGACTACTGCTAAAGAATTTGAAACCCTGTCAGATGTTATGACAAGTGCCTCAATTTGAATGGCAATTATGTTGAAAAGTAATGTAATGTTGTAGTTTTCTAATGTATATAATAAAAGTTCTGTATCTGCGGGTGTTTGTCATTGATAACCAAAAGGTTTATTTCCAAATTGCCCTCGTAATGTTATTTTTTGCATCATCATCCTCTTGTATACCAACCCCTATTTCATAACTAACAGGTGAAATCATTTAATTAGATTTGAAGGCAAATGAGATAAAATGAATAGTGGTACAAATTATTCATTGAACCTCTTGCCTGAACTATAGTGAATCTTCAGTGAATGACTAAAAGTCATAGGTCGCAATCCAAGAATTATCCTATAATTATCTTTTAGAATTACTATGCATTCAAAATGAGAGGGAGAAGAATTTATTAAGACAGACACCCCAAAGATTAGTTACTTGCTATTCTCCTGGTAACTCTATCTCTGCCTATTTAAGCAAATAACTCAAAGATAATTACTTTGTTATTAAACTTGTTGTGGAGATCTAAAATAAATAAAACTCACCAAAAATAGGTGATTCAGAAAATAACATGAAATACATATTAAAATACAAATTAGATTATTTACTCTTTAATTACATTAATTTTTTTACTAAAGTCAATAGGCTTTAAGTGCAATTAACTGACTTCTGTTATAGAACATCTGTAAGAAATGTGGTATGAAACAGAAATGTATTAGATAATCTTCATCAATTACTACCAGGGCACCACAGGAAATATAATTAAATTTGGAAGTACCTTACAATGCATACAAGTATCCAAGGAGAAAAGAAATCATTTTTATCAGAAAAAAAAATTGTAGAATTGTCACCATTTTCTATACTTTCCCCCTTAAGATGGCAATAGCTTAGGAAACTAGTCAGTAAGTCATCTTACTGCTTACGTATTCAGTTATTAAAATAAGTATCTCCCATACAGTCTGGGATGGGCAAAAAGAAGAGACAGAGATCTAGCTCAGAGGCTCTGAACAAATAAAGGTCACCTAACAGCCAATATTTCTACTGAATATCAGAAACCTTTCCACACAAGGATATTACAAGTATACTATTGCCTCCAATTTATCAAGCAAAAGTTATGAAAACAAGAGAGACCTGCCAGGACAATTACTAAAGAAAGATAATGTATTAAAGGTAAGTACCAGCAAACATAATTCTCTTGATAGAACAGCCTATAATGAAATTAACAAATTCCCAGATAAAGCTAAGTAGATGTGATGGCTAGCTGTTTCCTCTGGATTGCACAGACTTTGCTAGTCCTGTTTGGACCTCTTGCAATCGGTCATGTTAGAACTGATAAACTGAGGAATGAAATATCAGCACATATAGAAGTCTGATCAAAGTGACAACAACAGTCTCTTCACCCCTCTTCTCAGGTTGCTGGTTCTAAACCAGGGGTGTCAAACTCGCAACGTCACTTGACGTGTCATGACATATCGCAACTTTTTTGCCATTGCCGGCAAAGGGGTGGGCGCAGTTTCACTATGATGCATCCGGCCCACACGCCGGCAATTTGACACCCTGTTCTAAACTATGCCTTCTAATATGCAGGCAGAAAATAGATCATAAAACCTACCTAAAGAATAAGACAAACAATATATATACATATCAAAACAAACTAATAGGCAGATGGCACTCTATTTGATAAGCCATCTGCTTCATTGCTAACTTCAGATCACATTGAGTGGGATAAATAGGTATTTTCTGTAATACTTCAGTTATTCCATCAATGCTTTAAAGAATGCAACAATTTTCTGTTTTGATATCTTTTTATCAAGGTCTAATATCCATTAGGAGGCACAGAAACTGTTGATCTATCTTTCTATTGTGCACGATGATTCATCTACTATAGAAATAACAGCTGAGTTGTTCAGACTTTTCACAGACTGACTGAAAACAAATTTCAAGGGACTGTTCTTGATTTCCTGGAATACTAATGGGTAAGAAGCCAAGATGGGCAATTCCTCTTTCTTGAACCTAATTCGCTCATATGATCTAATCGTGCTATTAAAGACATGGTTTTAAAAGAAGCTGTCCTTCAAGCTTTCAGCTAGTACAGAATTAATGAAAGTTTGCTATATACTCTTTAGAAGCCACATTGAGAGCATCTAAGAACTAGGCTTGTGGAAATCTTTGCACCCTGTTTAGAAACAATTTTATGTTAAAATCATTCAGCTTCAATCATATGAAAACCTGATCTTAATTTCTATTATTATTTTATCCAGTCAAAGTCTCTTATCTGGCAATGTTTATCTTCCTTTTTCCTGCTTTCCTTAACCAACATTCTTTGGAATAACACGAATGTAACATTTCATTCCATCTCTTGGGGACATCCAAATGCAACCCTAATTGTTACAGGAATTTAATGCCAGAATTGGCCCCACTGATACAATGCTTTTCTCCTGCTTTGGAAGGTATCTCTCCCCTTCTAAGGGATATATGGATAATAAGGTGAGACATTACAGCAGGCATGTCAAACTGCCGGCCTATGGACCGGATGCATCACGCTGAAACCGCACTCACCCCATTGCCGGCAATGGAGAAAAAATCGCAATACGTCGCGCGACATCACATGATGTCGCGAGTTTGACATGCCTGAACTATAGGAACTTGGGAACAAACATAGCAAATCAATGCTTAACACAGCTAGCTAGGGATGTTTAGCTCTGCATATTAAATAGTGTAATGAAAGGTGATTAAGGAGAACTCACATATTTGAGGGCCCAATAATCAATTATATTCTGACCTCACAGCATTTATTTAATAAAGTGCTCATTTTTAAAGTTGGTCTCTGACCACAGTGACTCCTGCTCATTATTCCACTTTGACTAAAACTATCATCTATCCAAATTAGTTAATATTAGATGTTCAAGAAACATCTAATATTGAACTGTGGAGTTCAAATCATTCACAAAACTAAATGAACTGTAAAACAGGCACAATAGATACACCTTTTTCTAATCAAGAATGAGTTCTCTTACATCTATCAACAAATAGATGTTAGCAGCTCCAACAGATACAGCAAAAAAGATATTTTATCGCTCATTGTATTTGGCCAGTTATTATGTATTGTTTAAGTATTGTAGCTACATAATAAATAAACTTATATGCCATCTAACTCCCAATGACTCTGGATGATCTTTGCTGGTTATTGACCTTGAATAAATAAAATGTCACCACTTGTGAAAACATAGTCTAAAACAAGTACAACATCCACCCCTGCTCATTCCTCACCTTGTCGTAGATCACTTTGACTATAAGTGAACAACTTGGGCAGGTTGCTACATCTTCCCCATTCTCCAGATCTTCCTGCAATAATACATAAAAATTTGACCTCTTAATAAAGCATAGCCATTTAATGTGTAAAATGAAGATGGCAAAATCCAAGTCCTGTCTGCTAGATATTTCTGAAATAACAGAATACTTCTCACAACTATATGCAGTCTCAAATCACTGAACTCCTCCTATTAAAGTTTGAAATCAATAGGTAGAATATCAGGATATAAAGCCAACTGTCCGTATGCTATTTTTTCTGCCAAAAAACAATAAATAAATAAATAATAAATACAAAAAACAATGTGCTTTTTTGCCTCAAAATCTAAGTATTTTGATTTTTAAAGATGTCTTCTATGAATCTGCACAATATTACAACTGGTTGAGCACCCTGGGAAGAGAAAAGAAATGTTAATTTATTATATATAATGTCAATCTCAATTTTGTTTTGGATTTCTCAAGAGAAAAGAACTCCAAAACAAGAGAGCTCCAAAACAAAAAGGCACTATAGTTTCCTCTAAAGGCCCTGAACTCAGCTCAATAATTCACTTACAGACAAATTCAGCACTGCTCTAGGTGTCCTTCAGAGTGTTTTGTTTAAGTGATTTATTAATATTATCTTCTCTGAAAAAAAGTCTCTTGCTGGTCATACTTACCATAATATCTATATAAAACTGACTTAAAAGCTTCATTTTAAAAACCAGTTAAATGCTTAATTCTTTTAAACTCTATCTCGTGAGATCTTAGCAGTTTAGACATTTAGACACTGTTCTAATTTTAGCTTAGGGCATATGTTCATCAGAAGGAAACTAATAATAGATCTCAATTTCCTATGATCAGAAATTAGTTTTTATCTGTTCAACCATATCTATACAAATTATTTCCCAAAATCATAGTGCTGAAATGCACAGCTTGGGTAAATGTGGACATTTCTCTGGACAGACTCAACTAAATTATGATATTCTGAAGAAATCTTTCAACTCAGAAAAGAACAATAAATAACCACAACAGTTCCCTCAAGGCTGAAGAATGTCTATCCTTGCCTCAGGAACATAAAGTCTACATTATCTAATGCTATATTAATTGATCCAATTTAGTTTTGAGATAAGATTAAACTGTGGATCCTGATTTTTAAACCCATGTTAGGATGACACTGCATTAAAATGCTTCTGTCCATCTAAAGCTTCTCAGGCTTATCAATCTTTTTTTTGTATTTAATAAGATTATATCTAGTCTGCCTTGCCCTATTATCAGCATACCAGGTTCCCATTGGTTATGCTTGAACATCTCTCTCAGTTGGAACAAATTATTACAATATTTTATAACCACTCTGACTGAACAGAGGAGAAGCATCAGCCCTCCCCAACTTGTCACTTTCTAGATGTACTGGCCACAACCTCCTCAATCCTAAACCAGAAGTGCTTGGAGTCCAAACATATCCGGAAAGCTCTAGACTAGAGCAATGTTTATCAAACTTGTTGTGCTGGCAATTTTGGGAATTGAAGTCCACCCATCGTAAAGTTGCCAATTTGAAAAACACTGCTCCAGTGTCTAGCTTGCAGAAGATGGAAAGGCAGCAGGCTTAATAGTCGCCTATATTCGCAGTTCTACTTTCCTACATGACGAACAGTCAAGGACAATCTGTATTTTAATGGTTTGCTCCATCACGTAAAAATGTATGTCACATGGCAATGTCTCTCGTCCCTAGAAATGACTAGCTCACTCATCCCCTTACCCGCGTAATAAGAAAGCGGTCCCCACAGGGGCACGGATAGCTGTAGGTCTCCGTATCTTCATCGTACTCGAAGTCCTCTATCTCCACTTCGTCATGGAAAATGGACATGTCGCAGCGCGATTCTTCGCTTCCCTCAGCCAAACGTAGCCAGCGCCGAGTGTCCAAGAAAACCGGCAACGGCACTAAAATAAAGCAATCTAAACCTTCACCACCACCATATTTGTTCCGGATTGAAGCAACGAATGATTTCTAGCCAATAAACATTCAAGATAAGATTTGACAACATCTCTAGTCGCATGGTATCCAATAAAAATGAGTGAGGTAGAACTCGTGCTCAAGACAAAAAGCTATAGAGTTGTAAAAAGATAGAAAGAAATCCTACATCCGTTGCTCATGGGTTCGAACAGAAGTGTCATCCCATAAAAAAAATTGACCAATGAGACTCCAAGATTGAAGAGGGAGGATCACGTTTTTGCTGGGGGGAGGGGGGCAAGCAGCACATCAGAACTCCGGCTTACGTAATAATAAAGGATTCCTATAATCCCACCCCTAACTTATAGAACTAGAAAGTATAGAGCAGTTTTTCTCATCCCTGGGAACGTTGAGATGACCTCAACTTTCAGAATTCCTTAGCCAATGCACAGCTGGGAGTTGAAGTCCACACAACTTAAATCTGCCGAGATTAAGAATCACTGCTGTAGGTAGGGTGATGTGCACTTTGTCCCTCTGCTTGAAATTAAAAGCCGGTGTTTTTCACCTCCATGTCGGATAGTCTTTTTTTATATATCATTCCTATTGAGCCCAAAGTAATATCGCTCTGACCTTGACTCCTCTGTACAAACATTTTTTTCGCTAGTCTTAAGAGTTAGGCCTAAAAAGCATGAAATGAGTTTCTTAAAAAAAAAAAAAAAAAGTCACCGACCTGCAAAAGCAGAATCATTTAAACCGGAAGTGCCGAAATCAGAGCTGGAATGGGTACCTCCCATTTTAGGGACCGTTTCCGCTGAATTTCTCCGGATGCCGGTTATTTCCTTAGGACTTTGAGAAAGGCGCTCGAGTGTTATTGTTGGCTTCTAAATGATGTAGTTAGGCTGGAAATTTAGCTGGAAGAAGCGGCGTTCAAGGAGGCGCAGGAGAAATAAATGCAGTCTGTCAAAGCTGAAGAGAAAAGGAAGATCTGTCTAAAATAATGCTTAATCCATAATGAAGAAATAAGGGTTCGCGGTCAAAAACTGAGAAGCTGGATCCCATTTAGGAAAATCTGCTTGTGAAATGAGCACTCTGTTGGGCACTTCTCGCCCTGTGAGGTGAGTCGGGCGAAAGACGGCTGGATGGGGCCAAAAGCAGCCCGTGAATTCTGTGGTAGTTGATCTCTTCCTGCTCTTCGGGCCTATTGACAGTTTGAAATGACCTTTCTGTGTATTGGGCTGCAGACGCAACCATCTTCAAGCAGCAATAAACTTAAGGAAGCCCAATTAATGTGTTTATAATCCAATTATTTATCTAGTTTTTCATTCATTCCTTTCCAAATGAACCAGCTGAGCTACTGTTTATCTAATGTAGGATGAAGAAATTACCACTGATATTCAGAAATATTTACATTAATTCCCATTTGTTAGTGAATATATCCAGAAGATGGTTAGGCAGCCTGGTGCCTTCAAAATACTTCAGAATTCAACTCTTGTCAGTCATAATCAGTAGGAATGGTAGTGACTATACAGCACCCTAAATCATATTTTGCCGAATTATGGTTAACAAAATCCCAGTTGGCTGAGTTCCTACAATATCATAAATCATTAACCATCCTTTACCAATCATAATGGTTGAACCTGCAGAGCATACTAAGTCGCAAGCAAGCAAATTCCATTTTGCTTAGTATATTGTATAATCTAAGAATTGTTACACTGAAACAGGATTTTTGAAGTTAATGGTAGTTGTTAATGAGAAAAGTATAAAGATATTCTATGTATAACACGAAATATTAGCCTTATGTAATGGAAGCAGTCGCAGCAACACATAATTGACTTTGGCTTATAAAAACTGAGTTCCTGATTACATGAGAGATCATCAGGAAATGCCAATGCTATAGGATAGATTGGGAATTCAAGAAAACAACCAGGAAGAAGGGGATGTTCCATAACTTAATTTATAATGGGAACCCAGACAAATTTATGGTTTTAAGAAGTCACACAGAAACCCAATTACTGTTGTTACAAATATTATCCATCTTATGTCATAGGAATAAACATTAAGAAAGTTTTATTTGCTCTTTCTAAAAGTGGATGTTTGAAATGTTTTAGCACAAGAGATTTTAAGTGCCAGCAGATGTCACTATTGTACATTACAAAAGTTAATGTTACAGAATATGTAGGAAAAGGAAAGAAATGCTTATTTGTACAGTACAGTTCTTATGCAGTACAAGTATAATAATCAGAGTGTTAAAATGATTACTATAACAATGTAATAAATTGAAATGTTAGCAAAATATTAAGAGCTTTGGGGAATTTTAAAAGAGCCATATAGTCTAGTACAGTGATGGCGAACCTTTTAGAGGCCGAGTGCCCAAATTGCAACCCAAAACCCACTTATTTATTGCCGGGTGCCAGGTGGGCATGGCCCACTGGGTGGGCGTGGCTGTGGTGGTCATGGCAGACTGGGTGGGTGTGGCCAAGGTGGACGTGGTCACCTTGATGTTGCTCATGGGGATAGATGCCTGTGGAGGCTGGGCAGGGTTGGGGGAGATCCAGGGGGTCTCTGGCAGGTGGGGTGGTGGGCAGGAGGCTCGTCCTGCGAGGTAAGGTGAGGCAGGGCGGGGGTGCCATTGTTGCAGGGCAAGGCAAGGCAGGGGCTGGGGCGGCTGCTCCCTGACACCATCGGCCCCCGCACACAGAGGCCAGCGAATGCATGGGGGCCGATAGTGTTCATCAGCAGCCACAGCCTGCCGGCCCCTCAACTGGCGCACTCTGGGGCTCCACAGCCCGCCGCCAGCAGTTCAGAGAAGCCACTTCTGAGCTGGATGGCCGGCTGACAGCTGAGGAGGCGATGCAGTGGGTCGTGCCTGGGAAAAGGAGAGCATGCGAGGCAAGACGGGGAGGGAAACCAGCCGTGCTGGGATGCATCCGGCCATGTGGGACCTCAACAAGTTAGCGGGCGGCTGGTTAAAGAGGAACGGTTGTCATCTCCGGGGCATGGTGCGTGTGCCCACAGAGAGGGCTCTGAGTGCCGCCTCTGGCACGCGTGCCATAGGTTCGCCACTATTGGTCTAGTAGTTAAGGCACCAGGCTACAAAGCGGAAGATCATGAGTTTAAATCCAGTCTTAGCCATGAAAGCCAGCTGGGTAACCTTGGGCCAGTCATACTCTCTCAACCTAATCCACCTCACAGGGTTGTTGTTCTGGGAAAATAGGAGAAGGTTTGTTAAATATGTTGTCGCTTTGGGTTATTTGTAAAAATAATATTTTATATAAATAATAAATATAAATAAATGTAAATAAATAAATAAAAATAAATAAGCTTACAATTAAATAAGTCTTCAGAAATCTTAACCCACTTCATCAGAGATATGGAATGAACTCTCAGAACAAGAACTTGATACATATTCAGTTTCAGAAAAGAATTGAGATAATGATAGGATCAAGCAGAATTGTTTCAAAAGTTGGAAGCAGAGAAACTAATTTATTTTTCATAGAAGATAGCAAAAAATACCCAAAGATTCTGTAATAAGTGTTGTTACTCATATTTTCTTCACATAAAAATTGAGAAATGAATTCTAGGAATTATGGATGATATCCACATTTTGTGGCAATTACTTTGATTATGTTGAAGACGCCTCCAAGTTATCATTTGTAACTTGCTTTACACTGTTCATTTTAAGTTCATGAGATTTAGAAATAAAATAGACAATATCAAATTTACCAAAACAAGATTTTGACATTAACAGCATGAGGGATTAGCAATGTAGGTTAAGTTAGGTTGAGAATAAACTTTACTAAACATAATGGGATTTTTCAGTAAATATGTATGTAATTGCATTAATGTAGGTTTTTAACAAATTCTTAATTGAAATTTAAATCTTTAGTTCATGAGCTGGATAGTTCTAGCAGAATTGGTAAGGGTTCATTGGAATATGACTGTATTCAGGACTAACAAATAATATTACTAACTGGTCTACATCCTCCCTCTTCTTGAGTTTCTTTGAGTCCAATCTTTGATATTGGTTTTCCCCCCAACAAATACCTTAGTAGTCAGCAAGTTGGAGGATCCCATATATGACACAAATATTGTTTCCTGCTTGGGTGTCTTTGAAACAGCCACAGATTGAGAGGGATATGATCTTTATGATGTGAATAATGGTTCATATATATTTCTGTGATGTCAGCAACAGTCTAAAAGTTCATTTATTTTCTTTGAAGCAAAGTGCCAAAGAAATACTTCTTGTGATACTTGGTGTGGTTTAAAAGTTTACAGCTGGGCTATTTGACATTACTGCCAATATTTGTTTATTGAAAAATTGATGCAAATATTATTTTAAATTGCCTTTACAGGAACATTTAACATAAAAGAACATTATGATATGTACAACAGCTTTTGGTTTGCCTATATTAATGAAAAGTGCCAATAGAATTCTTCCCTGCTATTCTTCATACTTGTGTCTAAGACTGGCAGCTATAAGATACTGCACAATAAATGGGTAAGCTATCAAATATTAAGTATTACTGTGAAATGAAAATATTAACATAGCACTGGTATTACTTTTCTTTAAAAATTGAATAAAGACTTAGTTGCTAACCATCATCTAGAATATAGTATAGTGAAATTTGGATCAACAGGCTGACTTTAGGGCTTATCTTGTTTGGAGTGAAACAGTTTTATTGAACAGTTTAGTACAGTTTTTGAGTATTTAAAGTATGATTAAATGGGAGATGAAGGTTCTGAAATTACTATGGGCAGAAATAATAAATTACTTTCTCAGGTTAATACATGGGATCATGTAACAGATTTGCTGCTTAACAAAAGAGGTTTACAAGTAGTCTTTTACTTACGACCATTTGTTTAATGATGGTTTAAAATTACATGACCTATACTCACACTTCATGATCTTTGCATCATCTCTGTGGACACTAGATTGCAGTTGGGATGCTTGATGACCAGCTCCCATTTATGACTGGTTGCAGACATGTCAAACAACAGATATGGCCCATAGGACTGTCCCAGAAATGGCAAGAGACCAGCCCCTGCTGCCCTGGCCCTGGCCCATCCCACCCCAGCTGGGTGCCCCCCCAGCGCATGCACAGGAAACAGCACTCAGCGGTATACAACAGCAGCTGCAGCTCATTTGTCTCATCCCACCCCTCCTGGCCTCGCCCCATCACGCCCAGCTATGCCCCACTTTGCCGGGCTTCTCCTCTTCTCCTCCGCCTCTGCTTTGCCAGCCACATCTCACCACGCCCAGCCCTACTTTGCTGGGCCTCTCCTCTCCTTGCTCAGGCCATGGAGTTCTGTCAGTCTTATGCCCTAGGGCTTGGGATGCAGCCATCCTTGATGGGGTGGCTCACACGTTGCCGGCTGCCGGCAGTTACAGGCTGTGGCTCTATATGCGACATGAGTGCCTCATTCCCCTCTCCAGCCCTACAATGTGGCAGAGAGAGCGAGTGGGAGCTGGGCCCTCCAACACTTGGCTTTTGCCATCACCCGCTCCCTTTTCCCTGCCTTTCATCCCACTGGCCGGGTCCCATCTGCCGGGCGGTATGGAGGGAGGAAGGAAGGAGAAGGGAATGAGAAAGAGGAGGCAGAGAAGGACGAAGGGAGGCAAATGGAAAGTGAAGGAAGGAAGGAAGGAAGGAAGGAAGGAAGGAAGGAAGGAAGGAAGGAAGGAAGGAAGAGGTAAGCGCAGCTGGGCGCCCACTCGGGGAAGTGGGGCTGCACTAGGCTGGGCTGTGGGGTCCTGGTGCCACAGGAGCTTGAGGGCTGGATGCTTGACCTCTGCTGCCCAGGGCTCTGGGCAGCCTACGCCATCATCCAGCCCTCCCCCATCAGCTTGAGAGGGACGGTGAGGCTCCTCCAGTGGACCATGCCCTGGTGCTCACCTCAGTCCCACCCCCCTCCGCTGGAGACCCTCAGATCTGCCCCAGTCCTGCTCAGGCCCTTACAGGTGCCCCGACGCAAGCTACATCAAGCTGGCCACACCCATCTAGTAGGCCATGCCCACCCCAGCCATCCCCAGCCAGTAGGCCACGCCCATCCTGGCCATACCCTACCAGCCTCCTGAGCACAACCACAGCGTTGATGCGGCCCTCAATAAAATTGACACACGTGGCCTATTTGATAACAAAATTATTTAAAAAGTACCTAAGCTTAATTCAAGAATACAGATTTTCTATTTTAACAACTCATTCTGCTTCATGAATATAAACTGGGTCAATAGGATTTGGGTTTTTTTAAAGATTTAGAAAATGTAATGGATGATTTTCAAGTCTTAATAATGTAACAAAGCATTGTTAAGAAGCAGTGTACTTCTAAGTATTAAATACTGGGCACTAGTATTTTCATGACTATATGCTTTGTTTTGTACTGTCCAAATAATGCAATCAGATTGCTGTTGAAAACAATAAGCAATTACATAGATTTTTGTCAGTCCAAGGGACACATTCTTATGATATCATGGTTAGAGATCAACGAGTCTGAAGTTACTATTTAAAAGAGTGTTCAGTGATCAGTTCAAGCTGTAAAATTATATTGAGTAATGATACATCTCAGTTTGCCTTATTTATAGCAAAATGAAATCCAGAAGAAAATCAGATCATCTGGACAGAACAGCAAATGACTTTCGACATGAGGTTGGTAATGTAGTGTATGAGTATGAAATGTGCTATATATGGTGAAGGTATTGGATAAATTTGGTAATAATTTGACCCTCTCTATAATCATTTGTTTTCATCTATAATCCTTTGCAACTTGCTCCATGGTCATCCACATTTTAGTTACCTCCCTTTTAGATTATTGCAATGTACTGTGCATGGAGTTGCCCTTAAAGACTGTCTGAAAGCTGCAAGTGATTTGGAATGCAGTGGTATGCCCCAGTTTTGGGGATCCCACAATTTACCCAAGTAACACAACTGGCTGCACTTGTTTTCAGTTGCTTTCCGAGTACAATTCAGGGTGTTGCTAATCACCTTTAAGCCAGGTTACTGTGGGATCACATCTCTCTGTGTGCATTTGCTTATCCTATTAGATTAGGGTGAGTGCACTCCAGGCCCCCTCCATTAATTGTTGCTATCTGATGGGACCTTAGATTGTGTATTCTTCATGGCCATCCCAGTCCTCTGAACAATCTCCCACTGGAGTTCAAAGGTGTCCTTACCCTTTTAGTCTTTCAAAGGTCTGTGAAGACCTGGCTTTTGCCCCAAACATTGGAATAAGATGGAGATGAAGTTTAAGATTGTTTGATTTGGTACTTGGGGGAAGAATATATTTTTGGCCATATTTTATGGATTGTTGTGAACCTTCTAGAGTTGGTTTACAAAATAAGTGCCACTGAAATAATAAATGTAGCTAGAAAAAAAGAAAGAACTGAGAAAATTGTTATTTCTAGATGATACAGATGTAACAGTAATGACTGTTTCACTTTTTATTTATTTATCAAATTTATTAGGCCACCATCTATTGACAATCTGAATGGCAAACATATACAGTAAAACACTGACAATTGTAAAACAACAAGTTTTGCTCCTTGTTGAAAATGTCAAAGGACATCCTCACCTTACACCCATGCTAGGACTCTAGAGCTAACAACTTGATTCCTTTTGAAGTACTGGCGAGGTTGGGGCCATCTATAACTTTGGCGAGGGTGGGTGGGTGTTGCAGCTCTTTTATAATCCAAATGCCATGACAAAGGTACATTACCTAAGACTCACCTAGTGACCTTGCTTCATTCAAGGAAAGTGGAGCATGCCCACTCTGACAGAGCTGATGGGATAAGTAGAAAATCTTAGGGAAAGTGGTCTTGCAAGTAACCTGGCTCCACGCTACACAAGGTCTTAAACTCTGATCATACTAATGGGTGTGTGAATGAGTATTCTGGCTTACAATGCATATTTTGCCTCCCCAATATGAGACACTGAGTAGCAAAATTTGAAGAATAATATTTCTTATGATTGTGGTCCTGCTTTAATATTTACAGTACAACTTATGAATGAACGATGTTCTGGTATTCTGATACTCAGTTTGTTCTACTTGGCTTCCCCTGTCAAGGGGAGTAAAGAAGTACATTTGGATAATTGTGATTCACTAAGGGTTATATCTAGAGTGGTAACTCTTGATGATTTCTCTTATAGTATATGATACTCCTGACATTGTCAGGAGGGTACTTTGACATAGTTCTCACTTTGTTCATAACAGTAAGCAAAGCACTTTTCACATTTGTTTAGCTGCTATCACTGGCAAAATAAATTAATGGAAACAGCTGAGATGCATTGGGCTATACATTTCCAATTCTTGGAAACTGTGGGAACAAAAATATTTTCTGACATTCAGAGTCACTTTGCCAAGATAGGCAACCATATAAATCAAACAAATAAACATTTTGGGGATTATTTAAAAACCAAAGGGACATCACTTTTTTGTAATAACATTGTGTGCAAGATCCAGTTCAGAAGTCAGTTATAAAATAATGTGACATATTAATGTTAGACTTATTCTTACTCTGGGGTTTCTGTGTTAAGGAGAATATTACTGTATATGAGCATCATGAGAGCAAGTCTAATTAAGAAATATAACTGTTTCTTAAAAAAATAAGTCTTAAAATAAGAAAAAGTATGATAGCGTTTACTTGGCAAGTATCCTGTTGTTTTACAAGAAAGTAGAAATACTCAATCATTTTTATGCAGAAATTGTTTCCTGCCATATGTTTTAAATTAAGACATAGCTGGCCAAATTTCATTTGTTGGACTCCAGTTCTTCTGGCTGGAAAATGAAATACTCATGATTGTAGTTTGATGTAGTTTGTCATTTTAACATTTTCTGTACTTTTGGACTTGCTTGACTCATCTTAAGAACTTTAGGTTTAGGCTTATTAATATGTTCTGTAGCTTAACAAACAATTCCAAATTATATTCTATGAGCTGATTGCCACACTATGAAATTCAGAGGAAACACAGCGGAAAGCAAGAAAACAAAATGTTATCACTGGATTGATTAGAAATTATATAAAAGCTATTGTTGGTTACGTTCCAAATAATCTGTGTTCAAGTCCCACTCAGCCATAAACTTGTAGCTGGTCTTGAGTCATGCAATCTGCTTTGTAATACTGCTATCAGAAAAATTGGGAGGGGGAAAGAGACGGAGGATGGTCCCAGAGAAAACAGTGTAGTAAATATCTAATAAAACATAATAAAAATAGGAATTTATTTTACTTTAATATTTTGTCTGTGGTTATTTAGAATTATGCTTTTTATTCAATAATGATTTTATTGTTTTCCTCCCAGAGAATACAGGAAAGAAGCAGCTTTTCTCAGCAAGAACTGCATTTTAAACTTTGTCTTTTTAATCTGAGAGCTGTAAAAGGCATGCCAGAAATGGGGCTATGAGTCTCTTGGCCAGAATGTTCAACCTCTTTTTTTTAGTTTCTTAGGGTTAAAAAAATAGGTGTATTAAGCTAATTTGAGGTTAAATGTCCATATTGTATTTCTGTTAAAAGCACAAAAAATTGGAACTGCGGCTTTATATAAGCCACAGATATCTAATTTTGCTATAAAGGAATGAACTAATATAAGGATCTTGAAATTTATAGATGAATTTCTTTGCCCATAGTCATATGTGAGGGGGTGTTCATAAAAAAATGTATGAATGAATGAACAAGCCTAGTCTTTGCTTGTTTTTGAATTCTTAATCTTGTTAAAACCTCAACTTCGTTATCTGCAATGAGATTAGAACTTAAAATTTCTATAAATGTGAGATAGTTGCATCTAATAATAATAGTAGCACTGTAAGAAGCCAGTAGAAATCATAGTTATTCCAATTCACAATTGGTGTTTCATGCTTGGAAGGATCCAGAAACAATTATATTTTGTTCTGAATTTTGTGTTTATTTCCTGAAATAGTGATGGTAGTTATGATGATGGTTTTTGTCTTTTTAGATTATTTCTAAAGCAAAAGTGTGTGGCATCAGCAATGAATCTGAAACAGTTAAAAGACTCCGTTTGGCAGTGACAGATAAGGAATTTACTTTTAAGGCAGGACAATGGTAAGATTCTTTGATCTGTATATATTAAATAGAAAAAGAAGTTAATGAAATTCTAAATTGATGGTACATTTATACCCAAATTATCAATTTTTATTGACATCAAACTATTAATGTTTATTACAGGCAAGTGCAAATGTTTAATTTTGTCACCTTTGAATAAACTGATTTGCAAATAGAATATATCGCAATTGCAGCAATTTCGTCACATGTTGTTTAGCCTTGTATCTCTTTTGAAATGGTTCTACATAAAATTTCCTTAAGCCTACTCTACTCTAAAGACACCTTTCTGTTTTATTTGCACTAATATAAAGGGTCAAAAGTCATATGACTATTTGTAAGTGAATGTCATTGAGAAATAACAGTATGTAGATAAGAACTCTCATTTGAGAAGATGCAAGGCTATTTACTATTTGAGAAAGAAAAAGTCAGTAGTACTACTTTTATTTTGTTCCTCTGTAACCTAATCATTGGATTAAATTCAGTGGTATTTTTAGTATATCAGATGGAAGGAAGGAGGGAGGGAGGGAGGGAAGGAAGGAAGGAAATAAATAAATATGCTCTTCCATTTTTAGAAGAAGCTCTCTAAAATGAATTACCTAGTATCTTACCTGGATAGGATATTGATTAGAAACAAGGAGAGAAGGTTTAACCATGGAATTTACTGGTGATTTTGGCCACTTATTGTTGCTCAGCTTAAGCTACATCACAGGGTTTCTGTGAGGATAAAATCATGATAGACTCCATATATACTGTAAAATACAGAATAATGATATAATCTTTGAAAAATAGAATGACAGTATTTTTTCTTGGAAATTACAATTTGTTATTTAATCATATGAACGTTTTCAAGATGTGAATGTTGTCTCTCAAAAATTCAGGTACATTTTTATATCAAATTGGATGCTATATTTTTCAGTCTGGACACTTTTCTTGTTCATATTTTTGCTTTTACTTTCTATTATCAATCTATCTGGCAAGTAAGTTTTATAAGATCAAACTTCTTCTGTAGGATGTTAATAGCATGAGTTACTAGTAGTGTTAATTTTGCAGTCTTTTGCATTTAGAACAAGAAAACAAGATGTTGATTGCAATAATTCATGTTTGTAGAGCAATTTGCAGCACCCTTTGCACATGTGCACAGATGCATACTAAATTTGTGCGTGTTGGTTCTTAAGCAAACATTTACCCTTCAAAAATGTTTTGGTAATCATCATACTGAAAACTGGGTTCTTTAATTATAATTACTCTTTTCATTATCTTCCTTTTAAATTATTCTAATTCTGTTTGGCATGCTAACATTCCACCAGTGCAGCTAGTAAGATTGCTTATGATTGAATGAATAGTACCGAGAAACAGAAGTGGCGGGAAAAGATTAATAGATTTACATTTGCGATGAAATGGCTGGAAGTCTTTTATTCTTTCAAACATATACATTTTTTTTCCTCAATGAATATTTCTGTCACACAGAGGAGCTACATAGTTAGGGTTACACTTACTTTCTGAAAATTTTGGCTTTGCAAATTGATGCTGTTGAAAATTCTAGTGTGTTCAGCAGTAATCTGTGATACTGTAAAGGTTACATTTCTGCCTGATTACTTGTTCTTTGTTTATATGTTTACTAAAAATTACTGTTGCTTTTTTTCTTTAAAATTAAAATTATATATTATGCAAGTTGAATTTTCATTTATATGAACATTTTTTCAAATATTTCTGCATTTACAACTAAAAAATAGTTGAAAAAGAAACCAGAAAATGAAATAGACAAATATAAGGCATGTATAATACCAAAATTAAGAAAAGTCTGATCTGTAGTCACTTGGAAACACTATCTTTCATTTATTTAAAAATACTATTTATCAGTGCAGTTTATGCCCAATAAATGAATATTAAATTTCATCCATACTTATGCAAATAATATTGAATGGACTGGGTTATGTAGATGACTTTGACTTTGGGTTATGACATTGACTTTGACATTTAGAAATTAGACTGTTTCTGTTGAACTCCATAATGAGGTAGGACACCATGTAGGAAAATAAAAGTGTTGTCTTTTATTTATACCTTGCCTTTCACTTGGAAGCTCAGATACTATATGACTCCTTCCTATTTTCCTTACAACAATCCTGTGAGGTAATTGGATTGAGAGTGAGTGACTGGCCCAAAGACATTAAATGAATTGCTCTGGTAGAGAATAAAGTAGAGTCTAATATCTTAATTGGTACACCTTGGCTGTTAATATTTAGATATAAGGAGTCCAACACATGAGGATTGCTCCCGGAGTTGCAGTTTTGCATGCAAATTCAGTTCAACAGAGGCAAAAATCCATGACCAAGGAAACGGGGGAAGCTGTCTCCTCCCAACAAGTGTTTTTTGGGGGAAACATTTAAATGAAAAAGATCTTTGGAGGGCTTAGAAAGTATTCTAGCATATATTATATATAGAACCTATTTCTTCTCTAATCAGGTTTCTGTTCATCCTCTCTTGATAGCCTGTTTTATATAGCACATTTGTTCTGCTTAATTATGAATAAATGCATATAAATAACATTTATGTGCATTTAGTTTTATAAATACCTATAGCTTTCTGTACAGAATATATTATAAGCTGTTGTTGGTATCTGTAATTAGTGAAACGCTTTCTGCAAACAGTCTAATGTGGGGGAGAGCAAATGTCAGTGTTGTTAGATTTATTTTGCTCTTTTTTTTTAGAACCCAAAAGCAGTTTACTGTAGGCAAATGCAAAAAATATGCAATTAGAAAAAAAAGGACGTGAGAACCCAATAACTTTTTTCATGTAGCCAATCAGTTCAAATTTCTGGTGGATCCCCTCTGTGATTGTCCTTACCTGTCTACTTCATTGAAGTCAAAGATCTATCAAAAGATCCTCTTATCTACCTCTCTTAAAAAAAATCAGATTCTAATAATTTTATCTCCAAGTTGTTTTATTTCATAAAGAACTGTATTTTTATTACTATGTTGCGCTGATATTACTCTTATCCCTGAGGACATGTAGAACTTATGACTTGATGCACAGAATAAGACTCTTACAAAATTCTGCCTTCCTGGAAAATCTTCAGAAACATATGTTTTTTGTCATTCGATTTTAACTTTTTATGTTTTAATTTAGATGTAACCAGGGCTTTTTTTCAGCCGGAACGCGGCGGAACCGCGTTCCGGCACCTTTTTCCGGGCCGGCCGCACCGGAAATAGCCCCTCCCACACCGGAAATAGCCCCTCCCAAATTTTACTTGCATTCCTGTTCTCTAAAGGGGCGGTCCTAGGGTTTGATGAGGGCGTGGCCAGGTTTGAGTTCCGCCACCTTTTCTC